CCTCTCGTTATCTATTCAAAACAAAATATTTCTTCCAAATTCAATTGAGTCATATATTGAAGCATTGACTTAGAGTAAGCTTCAGGACAATTTAACTGATATACTCAGATCAAAGTCTATTATTTTACTTTCAGAAATATGTTAGTAGTTACACCAAAAAAATAGTTTTATCTTTTTTGATCTCAGTCTACTTGCGAAAATTCTTAAGCATTACAAGGATTATGTCTATTTTAGTCAGATTTTTTTTTCATAACAACAATAAAAGAATTTATTATCATAATATCATAAATTCTAAAACCTTTCTTAATTATATCTGTGACGATTTTAGATAGAAGAAGAGTTAGCGCTGATGGAACTACACTTTATTATATTTCTTCTTATCAAGAATCGCATCGCTTCCATACAAAACATATGCTTATATACTTATCCATCAGAGAGAAGGAAAGAATATGAAAGGAAAGAATGATAAGACCATATATGGGAAGAAAGAGATATAAGGACAAAGTATAAGGACGAAAATATCAGAACAATACGGTCATTATGCCATACAGTGTACTCAAGCGGGAGCGCTACAATATCATATACGAAGCAATTTCGAACGTATCATCAAATAGACGAACAAACATAACAGTGTTGTCCAACATCTAACTGATTTCCGTTGTCAATATATACATTCATTACAACAAAGGTAGATGAAATTATTAGTTTTTTTTTTCTTTCTCAGATTATATTCTATTCTCATGGGAGTCTGCTTGAACAATTGAGATTACATGAAGGAGGGACTAGGTTTATCAAATTATATTGAGAAGATGCTATCTTTAGAATATAGATCAATTTCTACAACTTCTTGTTTCCATTGATTTTTCTAAAAACAAAACTTTCATCAAACGGCAGAAACACAAAAATTGATTCATATTCTTCTTCAAATAGTCATATTAAAAATGTGATAAAAATTTTATTTTAATTTTCAAAAAAGAGCAATGACTGATTATTACCATCATTTGTTCGATTTCAATCAGGAAATCTGATGATCTTTCTATATCTTTGTTACATCACATTCACTGATTGGATTTATGACAAAATTATTTCTTCATAGAATAAAATTTTGAGAAAATGAGATCAAATTCATTCATAAAAATTTCCTTCGAATCTTAATATTGAATTTTCTACATCGACAATTCATTGTCAAATCTATTTACTTTCAATTAAGCTTTAGAGTAAAAGAACCATCTAAACAGTATTGTAACAAATCACAATACGGTTATCTCAAACAAGCAAACAACAAAAACATGAGTATCCTCATACATTAAAATAGATTGACATTTTTTTTTTCATGAGAAATATATATGCAGACATAAAAATAAAAGATTTATTTACTGTGAATATGAATGATTAATAATAACTGTAAACGATAGCAACCCCTTTAGGATATAATGTTACTTAAAAACTAATGTTTTCATAATAAAACATATAAGATGTAACGATAGCGTTAGCCTTATGGCAAAAAACAACATATCAACTAGTTATATTTATATTTAGTATGTTATTTGCACGCACACAAATATGTATATATTTGTCATATTATAAACTCTTTTCTTAGACAGAAAGAAAGCTTTTCCTTATTATTCTGATAGATGGAATGTATATTTGAATATGTAACATAAATGTTGTCTATTAAACAATATGATACTCATCTATTTAGTCGTTTCTATCTTAGATTATATGAATATTTTATTTATTCTGATTATTCTAGTTGAACTGAATAATCATTAGAAAAAAGAAAAATGTGTGTGCTTAAAACATATTGAGCGGCACTTTTCAGTTCGTGCTTGTTGAACTCTTCATCACCTTTGCAATGAATGACTGTGAATGAGGTACATCCTGTTGTTGCTTCCCGAGAATTTGTGACATCGATAGTAATAAAAATGATAGTATAATTAGATTATTACTACTAATCTGTGGTTTAAAATTTTATACATTTTTTTTTTATTATATGGAGAATAATCGAAAGAAAATCTTCAGTATTTTAGTTATGAGAATGATCTATATACTTCGATATTGGTATATAATAATAAATAGATTTTGTTTTGATCAAAACTATATCAGTTTGTTATAGGAACTGGTTTTAAGAATATTTCAGGCTTCCTTTCTTCTTTCTTTTTTTTTCTAATGAAACCTCAGAAGAACTCGTCATAGACACATAGATATGCATTTGCATACGTCAAAATAGGGAAAGGATGTTTTTTCGTTTCTCTTTTTCTCTCGAGATAAAGGAGGAGAAGAAAGAAGGAGACAAAGAGAACAAAATGAGATGATGATGATGGTGGAAGGATGTCTTTCTCTTTTCTAACCGAAAAATCACACAACTCAGACGTTCTAATTGAAGAGGGAATATCATTTTGTGTTTAATAACGTAAGTGTAAAGCAATAGTATCTTTAACGTTTCTAATAAGATACTAAGATTCAAAATATTCTCAAAAAAAATTTTTCTTTTTTATTCGTTCTTGTTAATTTTGTATGATTTTCATCTAAACAAATGATAGATTGAATCAACGTATGTTTTAATTAGAAAACTAGATAATCAACAAAAAAAAAAAATCAATATTCAGTTCTTAAGATGTTTTTAGTCTTGCTGTACTATTTAGAATTAAGCTTTGAAAACTTCCTATTAGTTGAATACAGTTATTAATTATTGTTTCTTAGTCAAATGAATTTTTTTCTAGCAAGCCATTAAGATGCTAATTTAATATAAAATTATCTAGTTGTTTTTTTTTATTCAACTGTTTGTCTCGTTCTATTATTAGTTTTCATCTATTTTCATCAATAACGAGACAAGTACCTCAAAAGTAACCCATAATGATAATATAATTTCCGGTTGAAAACTATTTGTTAGCTATTGATTAGTTTATTCCATTCTATATAGAATTTAACCACTTGTTTCTTATATACAATAATACATAAATTATTTTACGGGCAAAAGAGAAAAGAGAAAACACTTCTTATTGTCACATATAATCGACGTCAATAAGAAAAACAAATGAGATATGAAGGTGATCGAAGCAAAAAAATAAGATTGACCTTAGAGTGAAAAAGAGAATAAAGGTGTTTGATTAATTGTTTTTTGGAAAGAAAAAAAATTGCTAATAAAATTTTGTATTCTATTTATTATAGGCAATGATGATCAAGATATTTCTCTTCTTCTTCTTTTTTTTTTTCTTTTCAACAGAATACATTTCCATTTATATACAATGTAATGAAATCAGCCGAGCAAACAATGACAAAAAAAAAAGAAGCAAAAGAACTATTGATTTGACAAACAAAGTCTCTCACACCTCATTCTAGTTTTCAGCCGAGCTCATCACGGGTCTTGCAGCCGTCGGCAATTCCGTCTCTTTTTCTTTTTTCATTATTATTATTATTATTTTGATTGTTTTCTTTTTGCTTGCCGCCTAACTACAAAGTTTCATAGAGATAGAGAGTAAGACAAGAGAATAAAGGACAAACTAGAAAGTAGTAGAGTATTATAAAAATTTTCTTTTTCCTCTTTTTTACTATTTTATTTTCTCTCTTGACATTGTTGTCATCATGTTCACTACCATTCTTTGTTAAAAATGATCCATTCTTATTATTAATAGTTATACTTAAATGATAAAAACTCGTGAACTTACTGAGAGAGAGAGAGCGAGAGAGAGAGAGAGAATTCATTTATACTAATTGTTTATTAATGTGTGTAATCAAGCAAGTCAAGTAGGTGTATCTTTTATCATTTCAATTAATACTTGTTTTTTGAAAATGAAGAATCAAAACAAGAATATAAAAGATTGGTAACTATTTTTAGAAATCGGAAATAAAGAGAAAATATAACGAGTTTTAGAGGAAAGAAAATAAGTATAGAACAATATGACCAACTCTCATTCTTTCTACGCAAAAAAAGAACAGATGAGCATTCGACAGCTCATGTGTCTTAGTATTCTAAAAAGAGAAATATATCAGTCGCAAACAACATACAAGTCATGTTAATCCCATGAGCATTTAGAAAGCAATAGTAATAAATGAGATGACATTTCTTTCTTCTTCTCTTTCGAAAACAATTATTGATGTGAGATTCTACATTTTTACATGGCATCATATAAATCATTTGATTTTTATCTTGCATAAATAATAGTTTCTAAGATTAATTAATAACTTTGAAAAAATAAGTTACCTTTCGATAATCATAAAGGAAGATATGAAATCATCATATATAATCTCATGAGAGAGTGAGAGAGAGAGTTAGTCATTAAAGAATAAATTCAATCAAAAATAATCGTTCATATAATACTAGAAATATTCATGAAATAGTTTCATTGATATCATTGTTTTTTTTCCGCTCTATAATAAGTATTTCAAGGTCAAACGACGGATGATAAACAACAGAAAATCCAATCGACTATGGCAAGCAGCTGTCATTTGTCAATAGAAAAACTTATGTTGATGTTTACTAAAAGCTAATGGGAAATCCTTGCTCGTTGTTCTTTATCATATATTTAAATAGAAAGAAAAAACAAATATATATATATATATATCAATATCATTTGTATATATCAACTTAGGATTAGATACACTTAGTTTACAATTCAGAAAAAAACCCTCATAGTATTTCTTTTTCTATTAGCAAAAGAAAAAGAAAAAAGTTCTTTTTATATAATAAATTAACAAAAAAGGAAAATTCACTCTTATATATTAAGTGTAATTAGTATAATGAAAAGAATAAATGTAACTTAGTTTAATTACAGAGTAAGATCTTATAGTCGCTTGTAGCAAAAAACAAGTTATAAAACGCTAGATACTATAGAAAACTATTGAGAATAATATTTATAAATAGTCAGTGTTCGAATTCGAAAATGTTTTTTTTTTGTTTTTGTTTAATCGATAATAGTTCTATACAAAACAATACACCTTATATTTATTCTTTTAGAACTTAGTATGAGTAATAGTCATTTTTTCATACAAAAATGCTAATGAATCAATGGCATTTATGTATTTACCTTTTTTTTCTTCTATCAAGTAAGTTCATGATATATTTTTTTCAACAATAAATTATCATATTTAAATATAAATAGCTTTTAAATCAAGTACAGTCCATTCAATTCAATGTTGTTCAGGTGATAGTTCATGTACAGCAGATCTTGTTGATTGTCCTGCAAATGTTTGTTTTAAATTAGGTAAGATATATCTGTTGATGAACTTTTTGAATTGGCTTTTCTTTTTTTTTTTTTTAATATTTCTTAGTGTTTGAAAAAGTAACAGAATACCGTGGATGTATGACTGATCTCTATAAAATGCTCGAATATCCCACTTTAGGCGGTGGAAATTTTTATGATGATGGTGGATCATCGAATGATCAATGTCAAAAAATTAATACACTTGGATCTGGAATGTCTTTATGTAAATGTACTAGTAATTTATGTAACTCATCTTCAAAATCTTCTTATATTTCATTTTTGATTTTGATTTTTATCCTTTTGGTTGTTTATCTATGTCCTTGTGTCTTTCTTTAATGATTATGTTCTGCATCAAATATATATATATATATATATATATTCATTGTCATTCGTTCGGTCGATTATTATGAATTCTTAATTTTTCATCAATAATACAATATGATTGTCAACTTTATAACGAAATCAATGAATGATAAAGCAAGAAATTTAAACAAAAGAAAAGACTTTCTCATTAGAGAAAGTTTAGACTTTTGTTTTTGATTTTTGCAAATTACGGTCATACAGATAGCATAAACCAATAATAGAAAATCATAGACAGTAGTATCAATCGTAATAGATTATATGAAATGCATGCAAATTAATCATACACTCATCTAAAACTAATCTATCATGCTCACATTTACCCTCTTACTCGTCTTATATTTGTCATTCGAGAAAAAGAATCTTCAACGATTTGGCATCATCATCATATTTTTGTCGTTTATTTCGTACGTGATTTGTATGCCTTGTTTCTATAATATCTCGTTAAATACGATTATTAATCATATGAATCATTTATAATGAATGATTAAAATACTGTCGTGTATTGTCAGCAAAGACAGATTGATAGATATTCTTATTTTACAATGTTAAAAAGAATAAAAAATAAATATATCAAACATCGTTTTTTTTGTGATCTATCTTCTATGAATTTTTTTGGTACAAGAAATATGCAATTTATTCGAAAATCTTTATTCTATGACCATGATACAAATAGATCTAAAATCTATTTTATGATTACTATGAATGATCAATAATAATCTGATTGATTTAATATTTGAATATAAAGCTGATAGAGACAAATCGAGATGAAATCTTCAATCCATCCAGCGTTACTAATGAAATCTTCATTATAATTAAATCAGAGTTATAATTAGTTGACAACTATATCAGTGTTTCAGTTAATTGTTGTTAATCGCATAAATTTTATGTGAAATACTTAACACTAAATTTCAATGGAGCAGATTGACATATTTTCAAATCATATCGATGCCATCATTTTACATTTAATATGTAACTACTAATATTGGTAGTTCTCTCTGATATGACATAATTTACAATGAACAAAGATTTTTTATAATCTGAAGTAAAGAAAAGTATAAATCTTATTTGATTTAGACTGAGAAATAGTTAGTAATATTCATGAAGACTTCTAGCTGCAGTCACCATAAATTGGAAAATTCATGAACATTTTGAAATAATGCAATCAAATACTTGTCATTTGAACAATGTTAACAGTGGAACGAAATTTCTTCATTATTTGAAAAAAAAACGAATCCTGTCGAAACATTGAATCACTTCAAGAATATCATATGAAAATATGGCAATCATGGCTATTACCTGATCTTCATTTTCGTTTATTATTTAGCAACAACTTTTAAAATTTTTTGCAAGGTTCAGCTTCCATTTGCTTCTCTGTGACGCCGCCACTATTGGCGTCGTTAGCATTATCTTGCTGATTCATTATTACTTGGTACATGTTTTCCTAGTTGAATGATGAAATATATGAAAATAACGGAATGATCTGAGTTTTACCAAAAAAACAAGAACAAATTGCAGATACAAAAATCATTTTTTTTTTTGTTGTAGACAATTGGAAGTCATAGGATTTCTGCACAGTGATTGAGTAACTAATAGCTGGAAGATTTGATTTCTACCAACCATTTTTGATAGCCCTTTCGTGACTATTGACTGTCACAATGATGGAAGAAAAATACATAATTAAAACTTATTGTATAAGAAATTCTTCATAGGTTAGGAGATTTCCTTATATAACATAGGAGGACAAATCATTTTTTTATATGCGTTTAACTGGAAATTTCATTAGGAACACAAGCAATTCAGCAAAATCCATAGATCAATCTTTCTAAATACACGTGGAAGACGTCCGATTTTCTCAATTCTAACCCGTTCGCTGTAAATAATTTTTTTAGAAACTCGAACTTTACTTTAACAACAGGATTCTTACGAAAGTCGTATATCATTCTGATCTACTTGATCTTTATTTCCAATAAAGAAACATATATCGTGTAATGTATTCACACAAGGACAAGATCTCCCACTTTATGGTAAGATGAGCAATCAATTTTTGAATGAGACATTTATGAATACTTCTCAACACTAAGCAGTGACTGAGATATTTACTGGATTCGAAGAAAATACCCAACTGTTGAAAAAAAAGCATGTTTGTTACAGTGCACAATTGTGGAAAGTGAACGGCGAACGACAGGGAATATGCATTGTCTTTCCAACTTTGTAGAAGAAAAACTACTTTTTATCTTGCCATATACTATTTTTGAAATAATAATCTATAGACTTTTTTCATTGAATAAGAATCTTATTGAAATTAAACCTAAAAAATATTGATAAGAATGAATTCTACTCGGAAACTGTATTGAATAATCTAATTAAATTGAGAAGAAAATTTTAGAAGGTTATATGTGAGAATAAATTATGAGTGAATCTTAGTTTTTCGAAAAAACTTCATCAATAGAAACATATTTTAATACGACATTAAAATGTTATCAAATATTTCTAAATATATTTTCTTTCTCATGAGCTTTGTTTTTGATCTACTTATAATTGAAGAATAAAATAAATTCTACGTACGACAAGAAATTATTTTCTTTTCATCTTGTAATGTATTCTTTCTTCATTATAGATAATTATTAAACTACTAAGAATAAACTTTGATTTAAATTAAAGAGATAAATTATTTTCGCCTTCTTTGAACGTTTTCTATATTAAATCATATAAACAAGAGCTTTGTTTCTATATATCAATATTAATCGACCATTCAAAAGAACAAAAAAAAACTATAGACTATGTCAATCATATATGAATTATTGTTTTCATTTTACTTACTTACATTATTAAGTAATCATCAACAATACCAAGAGACTACCGAAACTTACAAGAAAACATTTTCAATTTATCAATCGCTTTCTCATAAAACACTACCGGATTTTGCATTGTCGATCATGCTAACTCAGAATATTATCATAAAAAAGCTCTCTTAAACCTTTTATGCTGATTTTTTTCTAGGTCAACAAACATTTTACCAAAACCGTGTTTTTTATCTATTCGGATAATAGAGCATATTGAGTTGTTCTATTTTTCAAAAATGAGTTTTAAATAGAAGAATACCATCTTGAAGATTTTTACCGAAACATCGATATGTATGTGATCTATGAATTAAAATGGCTGTATTTTCTGTAAAAGAAAACCGATTTGAAACAAAAAAGTTACTCTTTTCTAGGCAATTCGATATACCCTAAAATCTAGACAGATAACAAAAAGAAAAGTTTGTTAATCTGAAAAGCCAGCATATAAGGACCTAAAGAGATTCCTTATGGTTATATTCGGAATCAGCACAGTTGATAATCCATAATGCAATAGCTTTTCATGAGAAAGCGATTGATCGGTTGAAAAAGTTCTCTCGTAAGTAAACTTTTTTATACGTTTTAATTACATGACGAACTATTTCAAAAAGAGAGTGAAATCTAACAAATATTTCCTAGATGAGAGAAACCAATTCTTTCAATACAAACTGTTTATTTTTCACAAAGTTAACACCTAATATTTTTCTATTATTAGTACATTTCTAAGAAGAAATCAAAAGAAGTTAAGAAGTAATCAATCATTATTCATTAGTCTTGTTAAAAACTGTTTCCAATAGATTGAAAAGAAATCCAACATATATGTTTATGTTGTTTCTTGTCTGTTCTTCTAACTGTTTGATGTTCAGTCAGATTTTTTCTAAGTTCTTTCCTATCTATTTTTTTCTTGTACGGAAACTTTATTTTAAGTAACTCATTTTAATCGTTTCATATAGATGAATTAAAAATAATTCCTCATACTTCTTGAGATGCTTCTGATATAGTTAAAATGATAAATGTTCAGAAAAACTCCTGATCTATATATCTTTCACAAATTATTTTCAAACATATTTTTTATTTGTAATAAGATCCTAAAAAGTTTTCTCAGGAAAACTTTTTTAACTTATTCATGTGGCTTGAATTTTTATGTAAGAACACTGTTTTCAGCGTGTTAATTTACATTATGTTTAGAATATTGATTATCACACCATGAATGAGCTGACAAGGGACAGAGATTTATCTATAACTGCATAGATACACAGTTTTGAAACAAATACGTAATTCAATATCAAAATTCTAGGATTTCATGGAGTATATCGTAAATATAATTACAAAATTTCATCTCGATTATAAAAAGTAAAAAGAAGAATTAAAATTCTATTAGCTTGTCTCTAAAACTAGAGAAGATCTTTTAGTATTTAAATATACATATGAACATAATTTACTTATGTCTATAGTTGTTTCTAAAATAATATATTAAATCTATTATTATTGCCCATAATTCATTATTAATATAAAAACCGACCAATTTCTATGATAATATTACGAATAAGTCGATGCATAACCCGATTTCGAACATAGATGCGAAAAAACATTGAAATTACAATCGATTCCCGAACTAATTAAAAATCTACAAAAATCAGAATAAAAATGTAGTAATCTATTCATATATTTGAAAGTGACTGATATAAAAACCCAGTGCTGCTGTAGAGATTGATATACTGTAGTAATTCAGTACCACTTCTATTGCAAACAAACATCAAAATATGCTATAAAATCTTAATTATCTGTAAAGCTCAATGAATTACATTATTGAAACTTAGTGAAATATTTCATTCGTTTAATTTTTATATTTATATTTCAATAAATTCAAACATATTTTAAAAGATACTGCCGATTTACATATATTCCTGAAAAAAAATAGTTGCAGTCGATTTATTTTCATTATATTCCTAAGATATTAGAAAAACATTTTTGGAAAATCATTTACATATTTTGTATTACTCGTATATTTGTCGTTCGATTTAATTACCACTTAAGTTTCGCTTTCCAATTTATTATTCCTGAAGAGATCGTTTTTTTTACAAAAATGATTATGATATAATCTGATAGAGCATGAAATTTTCTATCGTTTTATAT